GTCGACCCATCACCAGATTGTTGATACTCTCAGCGAAAAAACGATGGAGTGCCAACAATGGTCTGGCGCCAGAAACAACCACTGAATCAAATGGCAAACACTTTCTGCGGATTCGACGACAAAAATTGCAAACATTATCGCAAAACTGTTTGAACAGATCCCAGTGATGATCGACCGCCGCCGCAGAGAGACATGCGAGGAGTTACTTCTGAACGTTGCGGCTCGTAGCGGGTTAGCTGTTCAGCTCGAAGTTCAGAAATGAAATTCCTAGTGGATAAGATGCTCAGTTGACTGTTACCAAGAAGAATGCTGCGTTCAAGAGATGGCGTAGTTGCAAAAGGTCTTCAACTCGAGTGTACTGTAAAGAACGCGCAAATTCGAAAACAAGTGATGAAAGGGAAACTCAATTTCTTGTAACAGTCTCAGTGAGCTCCCTGAGTCAAATTTCCAAACGTAAAGAAAGGCATTCTGGCATGATATCGATTGTCTTCGACACAGAAAAAAATCATTTAAAGGTCCTCAAAGACAGATACAGCATTGTTAACTTTTTTCAAGGGAATAAAATATACTTTAGCCACCTGCGTTCCGCGCGCTAACAACTGAGCAATGCCAGTCTGAAGCAAGGTGTTGTAAATTTATTTGTCAAGGTCAATGGTTCGTGAATAACACGAACATTTTCTTCGAACGCAGTCAATTCGGCAACTCCAGTGTTCGAAGCTGAATGTTTGGGCACCGCGCCACCCATAATCAAAGGAACCGTGACCATTAAATGTGATTATTAAACCTATATTGCAGGTTCAGGATGGTAATACAGGATTGTGACAGCCCTTAGATTTATCAGTCAGTGTGGAAGTTAATCGCCACATAGAATTTGAATGGGAGGATGAGAACGCTAATGGACTTTCTCTTCAGATGTAATATATGTTGGACTATCAATCATTCGTAACAAGTATTATCTATTGTGGTACAGTCAGCCTACAGCAGGATTGCTTAATGTAGTTATGTGATGAGATCGGATGATTGCATTCCGTACGAGGCGTATCTCATACAAT